TGTCATATCGTGGTCTATGTATCGGGGTATGTATCGTATCGGCAACTTCTTAAAGATACCCAGCCCTAATTGTAACTACAGAACATTCCTCCATAGACATACATGCAGAACCTCCTCAGCGTGATGAAACTGCCAAGTATCATGTTATTCGGAAAGTACTTTTTTTTGGCAGCACAAGAAAATTTGAGCTCTATTTAGTTTAGTTACTTAATATATGTAATAAATCCTTGATATGTTAATTAATTAATTAACTTACTAGTGTAAGTATTAGCATTAGTCAACGTGACATGATTTGAGTGAGTAAATTGTAAAAAGGTTACTATTTGTGTACTACAATTGTTGAATGTCAGTATTTTTTGAAATATGAATGAATGGCTAATATTGCTAATACTTCACTAATAATTTGAGGAATACATAGAGTACAAGTGACAAAGCACCCTTATGTAATAGATAACTCTAAGTCAATCACTATTTAGTTTTTGCACTATTGCGGATGATAGTTTTGAGTCTGGATTAAAAGGACACTTATTAGTGAAGATTTATGATCTGAGAGGAGCCTGTTTGAGCGGTGAATGTTGCAAATATGTCGGTTTTGACTAGGGATGGGCATGATTAATCGATTAATCGATAATTGATCATTAAGAATTTCGTCGATTACGTTAATTTTAATCGACAAACCGAATGTAGGTTGCTGTGCGTAGCGTGACCAAACAGGGGTCTGTACATGTGTCTCTCTGCACTCAGAAGGAGCGAGCAAACACAAACATTCGGTCAGTCTGCAACGTACCGAAGCACAAATGCGTATTTAACGATGACTTCTACAAGAAAGTCCACGCTTTCCGTTGCGTTCGGGACAAATGTGAGGCCATGTGCACAGTGTACAAAACAGCACATATGTTTCGGTGTCCAGTGGGAAAAAGTTTTACCAGGTGAGAGTTGCGCAATGTCGATGACGAGTCCCCACCTCCCTCCCCCCGTACGGTGTCCTGGTTTTGACAAATGCAAATCTAGTCACACTAACCTGTATTCCACTGAGTCATGTCTTTTAATCCGACAGAAATTGACCGCATCAGCGACACAAGAGCTGCAGTTTTATCTTCGCTTAGTTTATGCAAATTAGCGATGCGGTTTTAAGTTTCGTTTCTGTGAGAGTTGCGCAAAACTGAATTAAACACATTAATAATTAATAATGTCAAACGGATTGATGTGGCTCTAGAGTGGTTACAGTTTATATGTCGTAAAGTTGAATTTATTTATGCAGATTAGTAGTGTAGATAGTAATAATAATGATGATCATTTTAATATAAAAACGTTAATCATTAATCGATAATCGATCGTTAATTCTTCCGACGATCGATTAAGAAAATTTCATCGAATGCCCATCCCTAGTTTTGATGCTACTTTTCGTTCTTTCTCATTGGTTAGTGCTTAGCTGCTGTAAGCTACCACACATAAACAGCCTGTTTCATCTTACATTAGCCTAGTGTAAAGTGACTATAGTGGCTGTATAAATGTTACTGGACCTGCACTGATACGTAAATGAGCTGTGAAAAGAGGTGTGAATGGTCAGCATTTACACATATAAATAATTACCGCAGCGTGCATGAATTTACCACTAAAGGCTAATAGTGGTAGTTTTTACTTTGTTTACAGGCTAGAATGTCATGCAAAAATGCCATTAGGCCTGCCTACTGTCTTTAAATATGACTGTAAAGAGGCAAAACAACTGTAAATGTGGCCTAAACAAACCCAAGTTAAAATCTAATAGAGTCAATAAGTTTTATAATCAATTGAAGATCCACAGTGACATTTAAAAATTTTAAGATCCCAAAATATATTGGCTGTTATATCAGGTATCTGCAGCTCCAAAGCCTGTTATATCATATCGGTATCATATCGGCTCCAAATAAAAAAAAATAATATTGGTTGAGCCTTATATTTTAATTTATAAAAATTTATAATTATGCCTTATTTGACCCAGTCCCTTTAAATTTTTGCTACTTATTTTGACTTTATTATTACCATTTGTATTTTTGCTCTTATATTATATCGTAATGTGTGAGCTTCTGTGTCCAAATAATTTCCCTTGTGGATCAATAAAGTTTGTCTAAGTCTAAACTAAACTTATATACACAGTGCAATCCCTGGAGATATGCAGATGTACTTGGGAGCTTCTTTGTTTTCCGGGCTGCAGTTGTGAGCGGTGTAGTGCTGAGTGCAGAGGGTGCGTGGTGCGGTGCGCATGGGGCGGGGTGGTGCGCACATATGGCAGTGATTTGGGAGCTGCAGACTGGACGGCTCTGCTCAGACTCTGTCAGCGAGGACCCAGACGCACACACACGTACACAGACATGCACATACACACACAAAAGCATGCACACACACACACTCTCCTGCTCTAAGCATACTTCCACCACTACTCACAGCAAACCAACGCAAAACTACGACTGCTTTAAATAGACGGGCGGCGTACAAGCTGGCTGGGTATCAAAGAGAACAGTCAGATAAAATACATACCTAAGAATGAATATCAAATACTTTTCTAATCTCAGTCCGTGATCTGACTACCAACTAGCACACACACACACACAATCAAAATGGTTCAGGTATGATTCAGTATTGTGTTGTAGTTTTCAACATTGTATGGTAGTACTTTCTTTTCTATTCCCATGTCGTCTTAGATCTGTGTAATCCCTCAGTGGTCCAGGTAGGTTCTATAGTGGTCCACGGGTAGGGCTGGGTATCATTAAGAAGTTGCTGATACGATACATAGGCCACAATACGATACATATTTCAATACAAAGCACTTTCGGTTCAATATGATATATATCAAAATCATGGCTGTGACACTAAAAGTCTTTGTTAAATCACTTCTTGTGCAAAGTTCATATGAAGCACAAACATTTCATCATCAAAACAGTGAAAATGTCAAATGTGTCGCATAAACGAGTTTCCTTTCTCTAAACAAACAACAAAACTGTAGCGCTGTAACAAAATAATTTAGTAAAATATACCAAAAAATACTCTCGGCAGTACAGTGATACAGCAGTTCCTGATATTGATACTGTCTTATCACATTAAACGATACAATATATTGATATTTCTTGTTCCGATACAGCTCAAGATCATGCTAAAGTGTTTCAGGAAAGCTTCATTTCTGTCCTGTTAATGTGACTTTTTTGATACCTACTCAAATGAGAATCTCGTATAGATTAGAATCATATTTTTCGATACAGCAAAGTAGGGTTGTCAAAAGTAATAGAAGTTAATGAGTCTAGTCACTAACAGAAAAAGTTAGAATAGAATCAACTAGTGAAAAATGGCTCTTGCCCCCCATCTGGTAGTATGACATCACCACATTATAATCTGAAAACTATCAATATCAAAAGGTTTTCCAATCTTCATCTGGGATTTGAAAGCTTACCAACTAGCATACGCACACAATTACAGGGTGTTTCTGTCAAAATGATCCAGGTTTCATTAAAAAAAAAAAGTAACTATGAATCATAATTTTATTTGGCTTAGGCAACTGTTGCAAACTTCGCCAAAAGCTACACAAGACTAGACTTCGCTAATAGTCCTTGTAACAGATGCTTAAAATCTTCACTATGAAATAAAATGGCAAGTGCAGAGGGAAAACTGAATAATGAACATAGATAAGAATCACAATTGTAGCAGAATGTCAGTGTGTATTATCCAGATTTAGACATACTGAAGAGTCCAATCCACAAATAGTTATAAGAGGTTCAAACATTAACCGCAGGCTCAAGGCAGCAGCATGTGAAAACAGGTTGTGTACAGCAAGACAACTGAAAATATTGTACAGAGAAGTAGAGGGATGTAACTCAGTAGACATTGTTAACACTGTCCAGAGACGACAGTGATAGAAAACAGACAAAATTTGAAAAGCAAACATAAGCAGGCCCAACTGTTCTTTACATGAATACACACACAAACACACACACATACACACTTCCACATGTCTGGTCTCACCGTCTAACACGGCACACAGCCTTCAGGCTCGGGGTAATCAGGGCTCTTCCTGCTCTCCTGCTCCAATGCAATTAATCAAAGCAGACGACAGCTCAAATGACCCAATCACAGCCTGCAATTAACGAGCAGGAAGCCTTCTGATTGGCCGGCTTTGCCTTCAGCCCCCAGGTCAGGGGTTAATCTTCGCCAAACAACAAAAGGGGAACGGCTTATCAACTTTATAAGAGGAGTCATTGGGGCTGTATACAAAGTAATGGTTGTTTATGCGTTTCAAGTTTGAAGTTTATTGTTCTGGATCAGACAGTCTACTTGGATCATCTAAACTGCTTTTGTTTTTTTCCCCTTAAACGTGCCTGCTGTCAACATTAAAACTCAGCATTCAGACGCCTTTAAAATGTATCTGAAAGAAACCAGGCAGGCCATCTTACTTTCTGCACCCTGTTTGGCAGAAAGAAATCTACTACTACAGAATTTATATTGTCAGATCAATTACTGACTTATACATTTACATTTATATAATTATTCCTTATTTGACACCAGTCTCTTGTTACTTATTATGAATTTATTATTACCATGTATATATATATTTTTTGTTATCATAATATATTGTGATGTGTGAGCTACTGTGTCCAAATAATTTCCCTTGTGGATCAATAAAGTTTGTCTAACGCAATGTTAACACTGTAAAACTATGCAATAAAACTGCACCTCTGTAAAGTGTATTAAAAGTACAAAATACTAAATACCACATGACCCTAGAAGACAACAAAACAGATCTTTGGGTAAAAGTGTGATATTTTTGGCTTCTCAAGATGAGTTCAAAAGTGTTACATCCCTGACGACTAGGGGACAGCTATATGTTGTATAGAAGTGTAAAGAAGCGATATCAAGTCAAGATTAGATCTGCGTTTTAAGAAAAATCGTAACATGAGAAGAGAAGAGAGTTACGAGCACTGTTACGAGCACAGTAAACACCAGAGCAAGAATCACATGGCTCAGTACTGTACCTGGCTGATGGTTCCGTGGCTGTCCTATGTGGAGGTGGTTGAACAGCTCCATGAGGAAGTAGAGTTTTCAAAATGGAGTTTCAAAGCCAATCTGAAAGAAAGAAAAACAATGTGAGTCTTTGCATCCCCCCAAAACAACATAATCTAAGTGCTCTGTTTAAGTGTGTAAGTCATTTATATAGGCAAGATGCATTTTAATTAATAATTTAAAGATTGTAAAATTGGCACAATTCTCTAGGCACAGTTTCTGGTCTGTAATGGATTTAATGTGTCTCATAGTCTAAAAGGAGCTAGATTCATAACAGTCAGCCCCATCATTGGAGGTTTCCTGGATTATTGGAATCCTGATTCACTTAAAAAACAATCTGATTCCAAATTCAATTCACTGGAATGTTCCACAGTATTGTATTAAACCTTTCTATCTTCACGGAGAGCAAACGTGGCCAAGTTAGAGGTCAGATCTGTGGAGAGGCGACCCCACTCACAGTCAGAATGTCTGTTTTTCTAGGTATTTTTGAGCTATAAAACCATTTGTAATTGAATACATGTAAAGGTAGAGCTGTTTAATGTCATACTGTGGAACATTCTAGGCAGAGCAATGACATATCCATAGAAACAAGCAGGTGACGGACCCTTAACCGAAAAGTTACATAGTGCACCTTTAAGAATCAAATTTTTTGAACACCCCTACCCATCATGCCCCAGAACTCGTCTAAATAGTGAAAACAAGAAGATCAAACTTGAAAACCACTATAATCTTTGCGGATGCTGTAAACGGGTGGCACAGCAGCACACATTAGCGCAGTAGCACCTCCGTCGCCACAGAGCTGGAGTGCCTCAGGGCTCAGTCATTAGGCCGGTGTTGATTTCGTCGTGTTTGCAGCTCGTTTGTGCACAGATAAGTGGAGCAGTGCGGCGGACAGCTGTGGCCTGCGCTGGTGAGCTCCCACACAGAGACGCTTTTCATGGGACAGTGACCGTCTCCTCAAAGGGGCCTTTATACGAGCGGAGGAGGCAGACGTCAGGAGTCCACTTCACACCCACACACCACCGCACACTCATACAATAATGCAGACCGAGCAAAAGAGTGAAATAAAAAAATTCTCAATAATATTTTCTTTTTATTTATTTATTGTAATCCAGAAATATAATCTAGTTTGAAAGATTGCAGTGTACATTTTCTATTTTAATCAGTTATGTTTGCTGTCAAAACATTCCTTGCCTCTACTAATAATTAGGATTGTAATAATAATCGAAATATCATGATATCGTATCGTCAAAGTTCTCACAATAATATCGTGGACCATCATAATATATCGAATTACAAGTCTCTTTGCTTAATTCATAGTTATGGTGCAGCAGTAAGTAAAAAAACAGAGGGAACTACATAGACCATGATCCTTTGCTCCAGTTCAGTGCAGACTACATGAAGAAATGAATGTTATGAACACTTTTAAAGCTTAGTTCTTTGGGTTAAGTCAAGGCATTTTAAGAGAAAAAAGAAGTGCATTCACAGTTTTGTTAGCCTCCACAAAATATTGCAATAAATATCATACCGTGAGATGTATATCGTGAAAATATCGAACATAGGGCCTTGGATAGCGTGAGTTGCAACATCCCTACTAATACTGTAAATGTAAAGATCCAACATTACAAGAAAAACATTTGTTATGTAGCATTTGAACTAAAGATGCCACAAGATCTCGTGAGACAAAACTGCCACAAGACCGTACACATAAGAAAAATGATCTTGTGAGATGTTTTACGTGTTGGTGAGTTAATCTTACAGTTCAACAAAGCAGTACTAGAATGGAAACAAACTATGAAATAATGAAATCAATAACAAAATTGTGAGGCCAAACTTGGAAACTGAACCGTGAAATGTATATATTAGTAGTAATTATATTAAATCTCGTCTTGTCTCGTTGTTGTGGACCCAATCTCGTATCTCGTCTCGTCGAAATTTTGTCTCATCCCATCCCTAATTTGAACTGTGCTGTTATAACTCAATGTGCAGATTTCTCTATAAAAAAAAGAGACATTCAGAATTCCCCATAGATTCTGGGGAGGCTAAGGTGTCACACAGTTTTAATAATTTCATTTTATACAATTTGAGGAGTGTAAATAACATTTATTGCCTATATTTACTCTTAACGTGGTCCTTTTAGTCCTGTATAGTTACTTTTAAATGTTTATGAAAGACAGTGGGCAACAAAGGCTAATTTTGTTATGCCAATATAGTAGCTGTGATGTGAAAACCATGACATCACATGGTGGAACAGAGAATTTTGCACCCAATAACGCCGGTTACTCAAACATGCCTAGATGAAACAAATCATAACTTTGGGTATGTTTTTGTAACAACATTCCAACATGGCTTAAAGCTCAGAAGAGACAAGTTTGTGTGACAATTTTATAGGACAATTTTTGACACATCTCACAGTTTCACAGCATTTCAAGGCTTCATTTAATGCAAAACTTCTCCTTTCCATTATCTGCCCTTTGGCTCATTACACGCACATTGTTCCGTTCATTATTTGCATTCTGTATCCACTTTTCCTAAATTCAATAAAGAAGACAAACACTATCAAGAGCCTGCGGTGAGGTCATCAGTGTCCAGCAGCAGCTCCTGTGGTTGTAAACCCCAAACAGCTCGAGCCAAAGCGTCCACAATCAGCTGGAACGTGTCCTGGACTCACAGTGTAAACAGGCCCACCCCAGGGAGGAGAGGAGGAGGAGGAGGGAGAGAGAGAAGGAGGAAGAAGAATGAGAAAGAGGAGGAGGGAGAGGAGGAAGAGGAGGAGAGTTATTCTAGAACAGAGCAGGAGAAAATACATGTCCAACAGACAGGTCATAACATAACACTGGGTCCAAACAGCTGCTACACACACACACATACACACACATACACAGGCACACCTTTATGAATGCTCAGGGCCAGGCCAAGAAAAAGATCAACAATGAAACAGGATTATGCTCGCACACAAGGACAAAATGAAGTTTCATCCAACTATTCGATTGTATGTTTGATGAATACAAGACTTTCTAAACCATCAGGGGTGTGACAAAAATATAGAAATATCTACATATCAATACTAAATTATATGATATGATATACTACATTTGGTGATACATTATATTATATTTTGGGGACAGCACTACAGTTTTGTTGATTTAGTGGAGGGGAAATTATGTCAAGTATATTACATAAACATTCACTGTTCTGATCATTAAAACAGAGGTATTTCATAGGTAGTGGTGGATCGAATCGTAAGGAACCGTGTGATTCCCAGCCCTATAAAACAGTATAATATATTTCACTTGATTCCAGTAAATTTGGTCAACATACCATTTAGTATTTTTATAGTATTTTTATATTTTATAGTATTTTCACACCAGCAACCACCACCACTGAACATGTCTTGTTTGATAAGAAGTACAAATTATTAATAGTCCAATTAGAAGTGGAGGGTCACATCAAGGTCAAGATCAAGATTCAATCAGGTCTAAATCAATGACCAGGGTTTTTCCCCACAGTAAAACTCATCTTTCAATAAACGCGTGTGGTTTGGAACTTCGATGAAGAAACCATTTGTATGTACAGTATATTTTACAAGATAAGACTGTCAATAGAAGTCTGCTGAATGCAGTATGGATCCATTTACAAAGCACTTTATTGTCCGATAATCAAGAAGTGTGGATTAGCATACAGACTGATAGATTTTAAAGTATGCCTCAGTTATGTTAATTTGACTATGAAATCAATACTAAAAGTGATTTTTAAAAATTTTGTTTCTGAAAAATTTATTTTTTTCCACCATAGTGCACAAACCCTATTTTTATCGGTTATTCTGAAAACTTCAGGTTCGAATAGTACAAACAAGTGCTTGTAAAAAACAGGAAACCTTGATACTTTATGCAAGAGGTATTTGGGAATAAAAAAAGAACTGTTTCCACTAAACACCACATAGAACCTTTTAATGTAAAGGAGATGCAATATTACACTTTAACATGCAACATCTGCCATGAATTACATTAAAACTGTGATATGAACATGTGCGTCCTAAAATCTGCCAAACTGCACTATAAAAAGATTTTATTACAACTTCAACAATAATATGTGAAATGTCTACAGCTGTGTGTGTCAGACAGTTGAATGTAAATTCCATAAGTGAAAGCGGAGAAACCAGTCCTCCTCCTTCTCCTCCTCCTCTCTGGTGCAGTAGACTCAGGTATGCACTGACAGGACATGCTTGTGCTCACCTCCCCAAAACAACAGGCCCGGGCTAACAGACGGCAGCTATAGCTCAAATAGTACATTATTCTCCACTGATTAGTTTGAATGGAGACAGGCCTAATGAAAAGACAGGCTGTCTCTGTCCGCTCTATCGAATCCGCAATCCATTGGTTGATCCACTAACAGGCTAATTCAATACAGTGCAATGTTATACATCTGTGAGCTGCTGTGTGTCCGGCTTGTTTTTAAGTGACGCTGCACCTTCAGGTCACAGAGATCATTTCCAGTGACGACCAACTTACACAAAAGTTTATATACAGAAAGTAAAGCCCCAAAGTAATTCTAATTGAGTACTACTAGGGATGTAACAATAACCGAAATATCGTGATACTGTATTGTCAAAGTTCTCACAGTAATATCATGGACCATTGCAATATATCGAATTACAAGTCTCTTTGCTTACATTAAGAGTTGTGGTGCAGCAAAAAGCTTAAAAAAAAAAAGACAGGGAACTACATAGACCATGATCCTTTGCTCCATTTCAGTGTAGACTACAAGAAGAAATAACAGCTCTAAGCACTTTTAAGACTTAGTTCTTTGGATTAAGTCTTGTCAAGTCATTTTAAGAGGAAAAAGTAGCCTATTCACAGTTTCACAGTCAGATGTATATCGTGAAAACATTGTACCAAGATTTGGATATTTTTACATCCATAATCGTGAGCCTTCCCACCATATCGCAACAAATATTGTAGTGTGAGGTTCATACCGTGAAGATATCGTATCGTAAGACTTGGATATCGTTACACCCCTAAGTACTACCCATCTCTGTCTTTGTCCACATTTCTTTGAGTAACTTTTAAAGGCCCCATGTTACACCATTTTCTGAACTATGTTAGAATGTTGCTTCCTCATCACAAACATACCTGGAGTTGTGTCTTTTTTCATTCACATGGATCATTTCAGACCTGGAATTGCAAA